CACCTCGGGTGACTGAGGAGCTTTTGACTTTAGGGAGAGGGGAATTGGATCTCCCTATTAAAATGTCTGTTTCCACAGATCTACCTCAGAAAGTTGCCTACGGATCATAAGCCTCCGTCCCCACAGAATTTTCTCGGGAAACTATCACCCAGGCCGCTCCTTTCCCCCTTCCCCTGCTGCAGGGTTTTAAGATACCTGGGTGTGCAGCCTTCACTTCAGGACCCAACTGTTAGAGCGCATGGCCTGATGAGGCCTTGGGGAGGGGCTCTCTTCACCCTCCTCCTTGAGACCCCCTCTGATGAAAAGCAGAGCCCAGAAGGTGTGTGTTGGTGGCACACAGCTTGGTATGTGTGGTAGGCACACAGCTTGGCAGAGAAGCCTCCAAGTATGTGGAAAGTCAGGGACAGGAGTCGGCTGGGAGTCAGGGAGCTGACAGCAGGCTCATACTGGAGAGGTTTGGAGAACCCAAGCTGACTCTGTTGGCAGTTTCCTAAAGTGTGGCTCCTCGAGCTGCCCTTCCTCTCCCACCATCTGTCCCAAGGTTGCTCTGTGTGGGTAAAGGACAGCTGTGCCTTCTGAGGTGTCAGCCACAGCCTGGGGCAGGCACAGCAGTGGGGGAGAGGGGGCGGCAGGGACGCTGAGTTCTCACTCAGAGCCACTCCTGTGGACATGTTCGGTTAGGATTTAACCATTGCTGAAGACCTTGCCAGCCAGTGCCCTGAGCCCCAGGGGAGGTGACGACTTCCCATGCTCCTAGACTTCTTTGTAGCATTTCACTTGGTGGGCTCATCTTCTGTGAAGTTCCAGAAGCAAAGGCGTTGGGGCCATAGGGGGGATCCCTCTTTCTCCCCTCTCTAGGAACTAGGCTGGAGTGGGGGCTCTGTTCCCACCTCCCAGGTTGGCGTAGTCACCAGCCTCCCGCCCAGGACCCTGGTTCAGCCCTCCTCCTGCAGCTCAGCAGGGCAGAATCAGGTGTTGAAACTGCACAGGGCAGCCCTCCCCGCCATCTCAACCCATTGGGTACCCATGAGGAAACGGAGGCCCAGGGAAAATAACTGGCTTATTCCTTGTCTTCTTGGAAACTTGCATAAAACCCAGACTTTCTCTAGTCTTTTCTCTCCTAGTTGAGTCGTCTTTCCAACTTATCCTAACTGCTACAAAACCCTTCTCTTGAAAAGTGACCTGGTGCAGAGAAAGTAGCATTGGTTAAGGTGAATAGGCAGGCGTAGCTAGCTGTGTGACCTTTTCTTGATCTAGTACCCTCTCTTCTGTTGATCAGAAAACATCATCATATTTAGGAAAAATAAAAAGGAATAGTCTGTGGGTCATCACAGAGTTGTTTTAGCTAAAGTTTGAGGAAAAAAAGGAAAAAGGAACATACCTAAATGGGTCAGAGACGTGATTAATGTTAGTTTGGGGGTTCCTTTACCAGTAATCCCCAAACTCTGTCCCTATTAGGAAGTGACCCAAGGGGGCAAAGGGGGTTCCTTTCCTAGAGTTTCATTTGAGGTGAGGAATTTCTGTATCTCTACTTTTGTAGCTATCTTTCCCCTTTGTCTCCCCCATCCCCCCAAGTAAAAGAAGTGAAGGTTTGAGTGTGAGAACACAGGACCCCTTCTTCCTGCCTTCTCCCCCTGCCCAACTCCATAATCTTGGTTCAGAAGCTTCTGCAGAAGATGAAATTCCCACTCCAAAGGACCCTGGCTTGCTTCTCACCTTGGGGAGAAGTACATGTGTACCCCTGCTTCTACAGGAGTTTCTGGCAGAGCAGAGGGGCCGCCTCCATTCTTGGCTGTCCTCATCTCCCACAGAATGGGCAGGGATCAATATCTTGCAGACCTCAGAGTAGTGATGCCCCCTGCAGGCAGAGGCAGGTGATGGCAGGTGGCCCTGCCTACCCCCAGTCTACCCGGTTTACCCTCTCCTGGTCAGGGACGCCTGGGCACTCCCATTTCTTAAAGCTCCCAGAATATTGAAAAATAGCGAAGAAACAGAGATTCTAAGTTGTAGTATGTTTTAAATTGTTTGCTTGGAACAGAGTAACGCGTTTCACACCCACACAGCCGTGTGACTATGCTATTCACAAGATATCAGAAATTTTTAAAACAAACCAAAACAAAGCATAGTGCACTAAAGGCTGAAAGAAGACACCAGTTTAAAGTTTTCTGATGAGCGTGTCACTTTTGACCCCATTGCGTTTTCCTGGATTGTTATGTTCACATCACTGGGAAGAAGATTAAGACTTTAAATGAAGAGACCTTTGGTGACCATTGCTCCCCAGTAGCCTTCCCAGTGCTGGGCCTGGCTGTGGGGTCTCCACACATGGCCGTTTGGGGCCTACAGGTGCCCAGGTCTCTTTTTTGAGACAGCAGGCAGTGGAAAGCAGATGCCTGGATGTGCCCCGTGGGACAGAGCCAGGTGGACAAAGTTTGGGGCTAGATCCCTTTGCCTGTGAGTAAGGGGCAGCCTGCATGCTGCCCCCTGCTGGCCACAGGGGAAATGGGTGACACTGGTCTGGAACGGTGGCTCATTAACCATGGTCTGGAGGTCCCCAATACCTTTTAGGGGTCTACAGGTCAAAGCTGCTTTCCTAATTATGAGACTTGATCTCATTCACAAATGTACAGAGGAAAAGTTCACTGATATGGTTTCATATGCCACATTGGAACAAATCTTTAAGAAACTACCATCTGGGCCTCCCCGGTGGCGCAGCAGTTGAGCGCTGGGTTGCGAAGCTGCCCGCGCCCGAGGGGCCGGTTCGATCCCCGGCTGCTCCCCGGCCACCGGAAGAGGGTCCCACATGGCGCGCAGACCTCTCCTGCCGCCCGCTGCTCCCCTCAGCAGTGTACTTCGGTCCTTCTGCCTGCTCTGCTCCCCGCTCTGGCTCTGGTGAATTCTCTCACCCTCCCGTGCTTCTGACTGTACCCAGTGCATGTATAAAACAAACAAACAAACAAACAAACAAATAAATAAAGCATGCCTCTATAAAAAAAAATATATAAAAATAAATCTTAAAAAAAAAAAAAAAAGAAACTACCATCTGTTGAGTTTTGATGCGTTGTGGAATAGTCACAATTATCTGGAAAGGATATTAAAATACCCCTCCCTTTCCCAACTATAGTACACCTCTGTGAGAGTCTGCATGTCCTTCATGTACTCTGTGCTTTTTTGTCCTTCACATCTTTGTGTACATATTGCAAAAAAAAAAGGATGCAAAATCATATAAGAATATCCAGCTTGCTAGGCCATACATTACTGAGCTTTATAAAAATGTAAAATCATGTTTTTCTAATTGCTTTTTTTTCAAAAGTATAGGTTTTTTGGTAAAATATGTGGTCATCATGCATATATAATTTTTCAATGAATTACAAATTTTTCTGTTTTAATATCTGATACATACTGTAAATGTCAATAAATGCAACCAATATCATTGGGGTCCCCAAGAATTTTAATAATGGTTGAATGAGCTTTAGTTCACATACTATAAAATTCATACTTTAAAATGTCATCTGGTGGTTTTAGTGTATCCACAAATCTGTGCAGCTGCCACCACTATCTAATTCATTTTCATCACCCCAAATAGAAACCCTGAACCCATTAGAAGTCACTCCCATCCCTTCCTACCCCTCTCCTCTGCCCGAGCCTCTGGCAACCGCTAATCTAGTTGTCTTTTTCTATGGATTTGCCTGTTTTGGACATTCCACATAAATGGAATATTACAGTATATGGTATTTTGTGACTGGCTTCTCTCTTTCACATAGCACAAGGTTTTTCAAGGCTCATCCAAGTTATAATATGTGTCCATACTTCATTCCCTTTTCTGGCTAAGTAATATTCCATTGTATGTGTATGCCACATTTTATCCATTCCTCGGTTGATGGACATGAGAAGTGTTTCTACTTTGGGGCCATTATGAAGAATGCTGCTGTGAACATCCGTCTACAGATTTTTATGTGAACATACGTTTTCTTGTTTTCTATTCACTGCTTCAGGTAGATACCCAGAAGTAGTTTCTGGGCCATGGTAATTCTGTTTAACTTTTGGGGAACTGCCAGCTGATTTCTAACCTTCATAATGTTTAAGACTGTACGAGTCCGTATGTGAGAACCAATGGTCTAGGCAGGGTTAGACCGGTGGGATGTGAATAACTCAATATAGCCCTTCATCTTTGCTCCAGTATTGAAATGCCCCCCGATTCATCTCTGCCCCTCCTTTTTCTCCCCCAAATACACACACACACACACACACACCCTCTCTTCAGAATGCATCAGAGGTGGTCATGTCCTCAATGGCAAGGAAAAAGCCAACTAAGTTCAACTACATAAAGTAAACCATAGGAAGTTCTGGAGCAGGGTCTTCTCCCTGCAGGATTCCCGAGGGTGCTTATTTTCATTATGGTCCCTGTGGATGGTGCCCCCTGCGTTGTAGAGTGGTGGTCCTGTCTGCAGCTGCCACTCCCTGCCCTTCTTCCCCTCCGGAGAGCACTGTGATTGGGGACCAGAGCCCATGAAGGCTGCACCCATGCGCCTGGGGCCACAACTGCGGGTCCCAAGTTTGGAGCTGTGATGGGTTTGCCCAGGCTGTCTAGCCATCTGCCTCTTGGCCCACACCCCTCCTGCCAGACAATGTGCTAAGTATAGCACGGGCTGTACTTGGAAGGCGCAGGGATCAGATGCCCTCTCGGGTTTGCCAGCTAAGTTGAAAATTGCTGAGGTGTGTCTCTTTCTGATTCTAACCCTTTGATGTCTTGCCAGTCATGTACAATCTTGTCACTGTCACTTAGTCCCATGATCTGCCTAGTTATCCCTCTCAGAATTTCATGCCTCTTCACGAGGATGGTATTTAGCTGGAGGAATGATTCTGATAGTGAGATTCCAGGCATCAGTGGGAGACAACTTATTGAACTGGTTAGAAGTGCCAAGTGTCTGTGCCTGAGGGACCCTGTCTGCTATCTGCACCCCAGCCAATGATGTGCTTGCTTTTCCCTCTTCCCACTTCAGATGTGACTCCCCACCCTGGCTGGGCAGTTCGAGCCATGGCTGACACCATCTTTGGCAGTGGGAGTGACCAGTGGGTTTGCCCCAATGACCGGCAGCTTGCCCTACGAGCAAAGTGAGTACCCCCATGATCCTGCCAGGCCTGCCCTTCTCCCTCCCTGCTGACCTCCTTTCTTTCACATGATTCATCCCCAAAGACCCAGCTAGAGACATTTGGAGACAAGTGTCTGTCCAGTGCATACCACACTCCAGGCCCTGAACTGGGCACTTGGCAATCATTTTCACTTAACTACCATGTGGAATTTGTCCCCATTTCTTCGATGAGGAAAGTAAGGCTGAGCTCCTTGTGCCAGTCACTTACCTTGTGAATTGCTGGACTGGGACCCACTCAGGTCCATCTCACTCGCATGCCTATCACACAGGCTGCAGGGAGGCAGTCCACTTCCTTTCCTTATCTGTTAAGAGTATAAATCTCCCTGTCACTGAGCCTTCAGTCTCTGAGCCCATGGAGGTGGGGAGCCTTTGATCTCTAGACACCCACTTCATAGTTGATTGCCTGGCACCTACAGACAGGACAGAGCAAAGTCTTGTCACATGAATGAAGTGCTGCCCCCTGGGCTGAAACACACAGCCAGCCCTGAGGCATCCCAGGTCTCTGCCTTGCTCCTGTCAGGGTCTCTGGTTCTGGTTTGTCTTCTGGGGTCACAGCTTTCCTGTTATTTCTCAGCTTGGTGACGCCTCAGCTCCAGTTAGGTCGTGCCGTCTCCACCCACTAGCCCCCCGGGACTGGAGACCAGCGGATCCCAGTTGCCACTCCTGCCTTCCAGTCTTCCCTATTCCTCCAAGGGAGTTGTGGGTTTCTGGTGTCTGGTGAGCCCAAGAGTGCCCCTTCATCTGTCAACCTGTGCCAATTATGAGAGCCAGCATTTCCCAGATGGGACCAAATTCAAGAAATTTGCAATTAGATGTTATGAGCCTGCAGGGGGACAGAGCTAAAACATCAAAGGGGGATAGAAAAATTAATCCAAAGTGCCCAAGAAGAGCAGAGTCATGCATGATTTGCAGGGATCTTTGCACAACAGATAATTTGTCCCTCTCCCTAGATGGCTCAGCTCCTTCCAACTCCCCTATCTAGTCCCTGCACATCCCCACAGGGGGAGAGACTAGGGATGAAACCAGTCCCTCTCCCTCTCTCGTCTGACACCAAGCAGGATGATGTGTCCTCTTGGGCAGGATGCAAGGGCTGGGGAGAGAGACATTGTGGTAGGAGGGTTGGTGTGACCCCTGGTGCCCCTCCAGCCTTCCCTTTATTTCTCCTATCCTTGTGTTGTGTTGCTCTCAGCAGCAGCCAAAAACTGTTGTTGCACCTTTTAGAAGAGCAAATGCTTTTATCTTATCCCCTGGGGCGTGCTGCCTGGTAATGCCAGGTTCCTTGTAATGCCAGCGTTTGTAAAGGAGAGTGCTACAAATCCCCGCAGCTGGGTGCTGTGCCCCTAGGGTCCTTCTGTGAAGTCTGGGAAAATTACCTTGCCTGGTTCCTGCTTAGGTCTGTCCTTTTATCCTACAGCCACCATCAAGCATTTTCCAAGCCCCTACTATGTGCCACATATAGGTTGCACAGCAGTAAACAAGACCAATGTGGTCCCTTGTCTTAAAGCATTAATGGAGAGAGGTGAGCACTAGGCACATAATTACCCATGTGCAGCTGCTCTGACTGGGGAAACAAGCAGTAGGGGTGATGGGTGCTAACTTAATCCGAGGATTTGGAGAGGTTTCCCTGAGAGTGTGATGATGAGTCCTGGAGGAGCGATGTTAGCTTTTAGGAAGACAGAATAAGATATTTGACATGTAGAGAACTTGACAAGTGGTCACTGTGGCTTGAATGCAGAGAGTGAGTGGTGGTGGTGATAGAGGGTAATGGTGTGAAAGGAAGATGGAGAAGTGGGGGTGGGCAGGAGTCAGATGGGGCAGGGCCTGGTCACCCAGAGACTAAAGTCTGGAGGGGGAGACAGAGGGACCCACCTTGTCTTTAATGTTCAGATGCAGTGGTGGAGCTATGCCTGGGCCTTGTGGAAACCCTGATAATGATTCTGAACCCATCCTGAAAGAGATCAAGGAAAAACCTCCTGGTGAAGATCATGTCTAAAAAAAGTCCTAAAAAAGAACAGGAGTGAGCCAGGTGGAAAGGGGTTTTAGGAAGAGGAGGAGAGGAGCAGGCACTCTAGGTGGAGGGCACAGTGTGAGCGAAGGCCTGCAGACAGCAGGCAGCCCAGACACCCAAGGGAGCTGGGAGCAGCTGTTGGTGACACAAACCTGTGAGCCCAGAAACAGGGCATCCTTTGGATGTGTGCGCGGGCTCTGGGCTGCACTGAAGCTTCTTCCCTAAGGCGTGATTGAGGGGAACGTGCGGCCTTGTCTCCATCTGGCACCCTGAGTTGTGTGAAGGGGCAAGATCCTTAGTGGCAACCACTTGACTGTAAGTGGGTCTCAGGGCCTGACTTCACAGGGGCAGTGAGCTGCAGGAGGAGGCCCAATGAGAAGATGTAAATTGCCAGGCTTGTTGGTGATCAGATGGAGGCAAAAAAAGGCGTGGAGAGTGCCCAGATTGCCGGATGTGACCTCCCCAGGCCAGATGGGCAGCCGAGGTCTAACTTGCCTTTAGAGAGCCATCTAACAAGACCCTGCCTCTTTTCCTCCTCTGGGGAGTCGGGAAGCTGCCTTGCAGGATGCTTTGCAAGACTTGGGGCCTGGGCTGGCTCCAGGCCCAGAAGGAGCCAGGAGGATGTGCCCTCCTGGACAGTGGTGGTGCTGGACTGTACCCTCCCACTACTGAGTTCCTTTTTCCCTTAGGGAGTAGGGCAACCCTGTTTTCTCATGCCCCTTCCCTGGCCCAGGGGACCATATACAGAGGGTATCCTGACCAAGTCTCTGAACCTGAGTACCTCAGTTTCTGAAATGCTTAGACAGAGGAAACCCACAGGTTGTGCTGGCAGTGTCTTTTCTCAAGGCCTAAAACCCTGAGTCTTCCCAGCACTAAACCCTGAGTCTTCCCTACACAGGAAATGTAGGCATGTGCCTGTGCCCTCTGAGGACTGGCCCCCCTTTCTTTTTCTTCCACTCCCACCCCTTTCCAGCCCACGAGGAGCACTTGAAACAGTGTTGGTCTAGCCCAATGCATTTATTTTTTTTAATTAGAGAAATAAGCAGTGTAGAAATCTGGACAACTCCCCCACACACATACACACAAAGCAGCACATTACTCTGAGCCTTCATCCTTTGCACATGTGGTGTCCTCTCCCTAAACTCCATCTCCTTCCTTCCATGGGGGAACACCTATTCATCCTGCAAAGCCCTGCATAAACACTACCTCTTTGGTTACGCCATTCCTGAGTCCTACCTGTGATAATTATGATGACCATCAACAACCACTTATTATGCAATTGAGCATTTGCTGTATGCAGAGCACTTCATGTGCTCTGCCTCATTTTGTTCTCAGGGCATCCCTAAAAAACAGATTAGAAAGTAAAGGACTGAGCAGCTACCCAAGTTCTAACATCTAGGTAGGGATGGAGCCATGAAAATAAGTCTGTCTGGTAAACTCCGAAGTCTTTCACCAGCCCGCTATGCTTACAAAGAGATGGTGTGCTTCTCAGTGGGTATGGTAGATTCACCTTAAGTTCTTTGTCTTAAGTGTTTTTGCAGCATAACTCATTGCTGCATGGCAATTTTGCTGTAAAAGATAAAATACCTGGTTGAAAGTTTGGTTTGACAGTTTGATTTCAAATTTGGTTTCAGCTGACTCTGCTCCCATTTTTATATTATAAAAATATGGTGATAAAACAACATGTTGGATGTGTGAAATATGAGAGTGTAAAGCCAGATTGCATACTATCCTAGAAAATGATAACGTATCAGTTTGCAAGTCCTTCAGGGACTTGCAGCCATCCCTCCCTCCTGTCAAAACCAAAGGTTGACCGAGCTATAACAAATATAAAGGTGGCTAGTCAATTCCCAGCAGTCTCCAAGAGCATAAATGATCAGTTCTTCAGCTAATCTAGACACAACAGCTTATTCTCTATTGCTGTCTTTATCAGATTTATTGTGTGATGTTAGAAGCTGGAGACAAAAAAGAAGAGCCAAGCTCCTCCTAACCCCCAAAAGGAAATGGTGACTTGATGGCTAATGAGCATTAGTTTCGTGAAAATACTTTGCTACTTGAGAGCGAAGACCATAATGTAGATGGAATTTTGGCATTTGGCACAGAATCTGGCTCAGATGATTTGGTGAAATAAAAGGCCTGGGCATGTGACGGAACATCTCAGTGCAGTCCAGGTATGTGCTCCAGCTGCATGCGTTGCAGATAATGAAAAGGTGACAGCGGAGTGGCTTTTACAACACGATACAAAGCTCAGGCATGAGTATGCATCCTATGGAATGGAAACGGATTCCTCTCTCTTAATGAAGGAAGAAAGTTTGGCAAAGAGAAAAAGTTTCATTGTGCCCTTTTAAATTAATATCCCTCTCTTTCATGATTTTTATCTTTTTTACAGCAAAATTGCCTTATGGTCAATTAGTTAAGAGGCAAAAATTGCCTGCAGCAAAGAACTTAGGGTGAAACTACTGAGGCCTGCTTTTCTCTCTCCTGACTTCTCTCTCCTGACACTGGGAGGGCTACTGCTGGCTGCAGTAGCCTAGGTGGGATGGCAACACGAGGCCACTAGCGTTCCTTGTGTGTCAGGGAGCCACCAGAAAGGTGTCCGTACCCCTCATCCTCCTGTGCTGTGTCGTGCATCAAGGGCTGGAAACAGTATCACTTCCTTAGGGAAACCCTTGTAGAACCACACCCCATAACTAGGTTAGTTCCCCTATCTGTATCTCCTGCTGACCCCCACCTGCATAGATCATCCAGGAGCAGGTCCTCGGCACCTAACAAGTGGCATCACAATGGATAGTCAATAAATATGTGTCAAAGGAATAGCTCTTACAATTTTTCATTCAGTAAATCCTTGTATAATTTGATGGGGCCTCTGTCTCCACCACCATATTGTCATTCTTCAAGGCATTGGCTTTGCCGTCATGTCCATCTCTGTAGACCCAGCACTTGGCATAGAGTGTCTCAGAGAAGCTGGGGCCCAGGGCAGGGAATTTGCAACCTGATCTGCTTCTGCCACTCTCTACTCATCCAGAAAAATAGAAAGGGTTTGAGTTCTTTCCCTCAACCTCAGGAGACATCACTGCTGCTGAACACCCCCATCCCAGCCAGGCCCCAACCCCTCCGCCTTGCCTGCCTCTCTGTCCCCTTCTTCCACAGCTCTGTTGACCTCCAACCATTTTTAAAATGCTGCAGGCATCTCCTTTTACCTTCAGGGCTCATTTTAAATCTAATTACCATTCTTTCCTAGCCCATTGTAAACTTCATCTCACTTGTCTCACTTAGATCAAGGTTTTCATTCTTCTCTGAATAAGCTCTGTGCTCCGCCCTTAACCTCATGCACCATGGTAGGGGCCTCCTCCATTCGAACAGCCTCACAGTCTGTGCTCCTGCTGCCCAAGGTGCTAAGGTGATGGCGGCCAGCATTTGAGCCTGGTGTCTGCACTGTTTCTGTTCCCTGTACCCTCGCCCCTGACACATACACAGCATCTGGGCTGTGGCAGACTCTTCTCAGGGGAGCTTTGTAGATGTGATGGGGTTTGCACTGTGTGACTTCAACATCAACCCTGTTATTATCTCTCAAGGCTACAGACAGGCTGGTCTGTGCACACCTATCAGACAGAGAAGCAGAGGAAGAGTCAGTGCCTCAGCCCAGCCGAGGTAGAGGCCATCCTGCAGGTCATCCAGAGGGCCGAGCGGCTGGACATCATGGAGCAGCAAAGGATCGGGTAAGGGCTGCTCCCTAGCCAGGGCAGGAGCCAGTGGAAAGCAGATACCAGATCCAAGCGCTGGGAGTCTGGTGCCCTGGGTCCTAGTGCTGGTGGCTCACCACTGGGGGTGTCAGCTCTTCTTCAACACCCCTGTAGTGTAGGCGCAGAACCCATCACTTTGAAGCATGGGAGCCTCGATATACCCCTTTGTCAGATGGGGCTAGTGACTGGTGTGGGCCCCAGGATGTGGGGAAGAGGGATGAATGTGTCTGACTATATTAGAGGCTGTTCAGCTCTGCACACATAGGGTCCTCTGTGGTTCTCAAGGGGAGGGATTTAAGTCGAGACTGAAATGTGGATCTTTCCTTCAAAAATTCCAACTAGACTGCTCTCCAGCTTGTTCTGGCCTCCAGCATCCAGACCTGAGCGCCATGGAGTCTTCAAATAGTTGTGTTGTGTCTTTCTTTAATTATAAACGCATTCATACTTTAGAAAAAGTCTGTAAGACACAAATAGGAAAACCCAAATGCAGTGCATTGTATGGAACAGGAATTAATGTGATTCTGGTCTCCTTATTCTTTTTCTATTAAAAAATTATGTGACCATTTTTTAAAAATGAGATGTGTGGAAACGTACAGTTCTAGAAAGTGAATGCACCAGTGCAAAGATCACTGTGTTCAAACAATTTATTGTCTATGCCTCAATAGTATTGGCATATTACTATTATTTTATAAAAAGGGTTTATATCAAGCAGGCTAGTTGTACTTTGCCATTTCCCCCACCAACCTGACTGTGGCCCTTCGTGCTTACACACCTATGCCCGGGATTCTGCAGCACCTGAATGTGCACATGTTTATAATTGACATACCAGTGCTATATCCCTCCAGCTCTCCCAAGAGGGTCAAGTAACTTCACATCTCTGACAAGGACAGGGAGCAGTACCCTAGATGAGGGAACAACATGTGGGTATGGTGTTGGGGCCCTGTAGCAACCTTGTCTGGGCAGTGGTTGGGTTGTAGGCAGGAAACACATTCTCTCTGACTCTGAGTCCTGTGCTGCAGGCGGCTGGTAGAGCGACTGGAGACCATGAGGCGCAACGTGATGGGGAATGGCCTCTCCCAGTGTCTACTCTGTGGGGAGGCGCTGGGCTTCTTGGGCAGCTCGTCAGTGTTCTGCAAAGACTGCAGGAAGGTAAGGCCCTGCTCTAGCCCTGCCACTCTGGCTACCCAGCCTGGACCAGCTCTGCTGCTCTGTGGCTTTGTATTATGGCTCTCAGAAGTATGAGTCTGTGTGTGCATGACTACATATGTGCACAGGTGTGCACATGATGTCCTGTACTTATTGGCAAGCAGGATTGGGTTAACCTGTCTTCTAGGGTCAGCTTTGGGGATTGGACCTCTGGGACTCAGAGGCCTGGGGGTGAATTCAGCTTTACATTAGCTGTATGGCCTAAAAAAATATTGTTTAATATGTCAAGCCTCATCTTCCCCATCTGTAAAATAGGATTAATTTAGGAGTTGGAGGATTAAAAGTTTTATTCAAAAAAATTTTTTAAGATTTATTTATGCATGTAAGAGCTGGGGTACAGGCCAGAGATGCAGGGGGTGAGAGGATTTACCAGAGACCGAATGGGGAACAGAACAGGCAGACTGACTGAAACACGCTGCTGAGGGGAGCAGCGGGCGAGACAGGAGAGGTCTGCTTCACCATGTGGGTTGCTCCCTGGCAGGCTGGGGATCGAACTTGTGCTGTAGAGGCTGTGGTTTGCTTCATAGTACAGTGCTCAACCCCTTGCACCCTAGGGAGGCCCCTATATGCAAATTTCTTAAACCTTGTATGACATGTTTTAGGTACTCAATAAACCTTATTAGTTGTTACTAAATAAATATAATTCTCTCATGGCCAAATCATATGCTAGGATCGCACTTGCTATTCAGTTGTCATACTCTTAATCCTTAACCATTCAAACATGAGTGATCTTTGCAGCATGATCAAATGGAGTGTCTCCTTTTCTTATACTCCACAGTGTTATAAATTGTGTTGCTTATTAAGTTGTTTCATATTGAATCTAAGATGTCTTAAATTAACTTTTTGTTTTTCTTGAGTTTCTAATTACCTTTGGTTTTCTCTTTGACCAAAGAATAATATGCCTTCCACTCAAGATTATTTAGCATCTCAGTTTGTACTCTCCATTGCATGGAATCAATCTTTTTTTTTTTTTTAACTCTGCCAGAAACCCATCCAGACTTTTATCCCTATTCCTGTTCCAGCATAGACTAGTTGCTGCATATTTATTGTCATGGGATTTTCCTTTTCTGCCCTCCTAAGTTAAAGATGCTGTTCCAAAAATAATATATATCCCTCTGTTGTTTTCACTCTAATTTTACTGGAACCTCTAAAGTTTTGCTGGACCCCATGTGCCAATCACTCTTTTAAACCTGAAGTTATGTTAGTGAACAAGACAGAAAAAACCTCCCCACTTGAAATTACATTGGGTAGGGGAGCCAAAAATCAAGTAATGATCAAATAAATAGGTAGATTTCAGAAAGTAACAGAATCAGGGAAGAATTCATGGGATAGAACTGTGGGATAGAAGACTGTGGATTGGGTGGAGCAGTAGAATTAAAAGGACTATAATACATAGAAAAGTCAAAGAAGTAAATATGAATTTGGCCACATAGAAGCCATTGGCAACCTTGACAAGGGCATTTTCTGTTGCATTCTAAAGCAAGCATTCCACAGGTACGAAGAGCTTTCCCAGCTAATAAGTGGGAAAGCTAGGATTTCAGCTAAGGTTGTTTTTATCCCCTGCTCTGTCACATGTGGTGAAGTAGACTGAGAAATGTGGATTAACAGTGAAGGTTTGAGAGAATAGTGTAGAGGTAGTTGGGGTCTGGGCTTCAGAGTAGGGGTGGGCACTGGTGTGCCCACTTCATAAGATCCTTATGAAGTCCTCCCTAGGCCCTGACTAAATACCACTGTAGGAGTACGTCCAGAAACTTGGGAATGTCTTGCTAGGCAGGTGGTGTTGTGTTTCATGACTTCTTCCTGGGAGACCCCGCGGCTAGTTCCTCTTCCTCCTCCATAATCCCACAAATGCTATAAATGTTCAGCCTTAGCTCATGCCCCTAGAAAAGTCTAGGGTTGCTGTCACAAAGGCAGGCTTCTGCCTGTGGATGCTGAAGGGTTAATGTCAGCTGTTCCTTGGAGAGTCATTTCCTAGGCAATAGTGAAACCCTAGGTAATAGTGGCATTCAACTGCATATGGGAATGCGGGGAAATGTTCTTCCAGATACTCTTGCCATACTACATCCCATGGTCCCCTGGAGCACAGGGCTGGGCTGATGCTGAGGATATTTCCATTTGAAATTGTTTTATTTTGTAGCTGGCTGACAACTTGATCATGGCTTGCGTAGTGAGATGAGGAATCCTTTGTGTTTCTGAGGGATGTTGTTCCCAGGTCAAAGTGGGAGGAGAGCGTGCACTGAATGATGAGCATTTGCAGGGTTTTCTTCATCCATCCTTGAGAAGATTGTGTCATTTATTTACTCTGCAAATAGAAGAAGGCCTACTGTGTGCAAGCCTTATTCCAGCAGCTAGAAGTATCATCAAGTTAGACAAAGTCCTTATTGTCATGGAGATTATATTCTAGTGATGGGAGAAGAGAGATAATGAATAAACAAATGTAAAATAGCATTAAGTAGACTGAGGACTCTAGTGAATTAAAAGAGGGCAATGTGGTGTAATGTGACTGGAGGGCCACTTTGAGCTCAGACCTGAGCTTAGGCAAGACCCTGCCCTGGGAAGGTCCAGGTAGAAACCTGTCCCAGGTAGAGGGAACAGTAAGGATGAAGGCCCTGAAGCAGAAACTAACTGGGCATGTGCAAAAGACTAACATGGCATCTGGGGGAGAGGGAACAAGTGGTAGACATGACAATCACACAGAACTTTATAAGTCAAGGTTAGGGGTTGATATTTGATTCTAAGTTTAATGGGATGCCAGTAGAGCATTGTAAGCAGGGGTGTGACATGATCTGATTTGTATATTTAAGAGATAAGTGTAACTGCTATTTGGACTGTAGGGGGACATAGAGTGGAAGCAGGAGATGAGTTGGGTAGTGACTACTGTCATTGGGAGATGATGGGATTGGGGACAAGGCAGCATGGGGATGGGAGCCAGATGTTGAAGGGTTCAAGAAGGAGGTTGAGAGTCCTAGGAAGGAATGAGGATCCTAGACTACAGCTGGACTAGGGCGCGAGGTCCCTTGGTCTGCCCACACAGGGAAGGGCGGAGGTCCTCCTGGGCTCGCAGCAAGTGCTGCTTCACACAGATGGACTTGGTTTGCTGTCCCAGCTTGGCCACAGCAGAGTGACCTTGTACAAGTTGTTTAACTTCTGGGCCTTTGTTCCTTTATCTGTAAACAGGGTAATAAATAAAAGATCACCTTTGGGTGAGTGTGAGAAGTAGATGGAGTAATACAGGGAAAGCCCTTAGCAGAGTGTCAGGTCCATTGCAAACACTATGTACAGAACGCCTGTTGTTATTGTTATTATAGTATTATTATCAACCCATTTTAAGTTCTAGCTGTTTTGACTGTGCATGTGTTGCAAAGAATAAGGGAACTAACCTCCTATGTATCTCAGAAGAGGTTGAATGACATCCCACATATTAGTCAGCTCAGGCTGGCATAACAACTTACAATAGACTGGGCAGCCTCAACAACAGAAATTTATTTCTCAAAATTCTGGAGGCTGGGAAGTCCAAGATCAAGGCGCCTGCCAATTCCATTTCTGGTGAGAGCTCTCCTCCTAGCTTGTAGCTCCTTCTCGCTGTGTCTGCGCACAGCCATGGCAGGTCTCTCTCGCAAAGACATCAGTCCTGTGGGAACAGAGTCCTATGCTCATGACTGCATTTAACCTTAACTGCTTCCTACAGACTTTGTCTCCAATACAGCCCCACTGAGGGTTGGGCCTTCAGCATATGAATTTTGAGTGAACACATTCTCTTTATTAGAGTTCCGGATTTCTTGAATTTAAAATTGGAGTTACCACTGTTTTTCATAATTTATATAAAAGCCTCTGGAAGCCTTTGTAGCTCTCAAACATTGGGCATTATGAGCCAGCAGGGAAACCTCGGTTTTGTGCAAGTTCCTCATTTAAACCTAATACCCAATCACTTATCAGTCTGTTGCAGGCTATGTCTGGGTTAGGGGAATCTAAAAGGAAAGGTGTCCACCACAGTCACTTCTCTCAAGTCTTGATGATCAGGGTGGGAAGACAGTATTCACCAGAGTGATGCTGACCATTGCTGGGGCGAGAGATCCCAGGACAGAGGGCAACAGAGAGGACTACCTGGAGGGACTGGCTCCTGAAGGCTGAGCAGGCTTTTGAGAGGCCAGGAGCAGAGCAACACATGTTCCAGGGAGGCAAGAACGGTGCAACAGAGACACATCCCTGGAAATGGATTAGGTGAGCACCTGATTGAGGATGCAGGCCCCGAGGGCAGGGAGAAGCAAGCTGAAAGAAGAAAGGACACAGGAGATGACATCAGATTTGACTTAGGAACAGGGTGATGACAGGGACCAGAGGATATAGGGCAGAGCTGAGGTCTTTGGGAAGGAGATGGGACTTGTTAGAAGAGTTCTCTGAGGACCAAGCTGCACTTGAGCAGGGTGGGCCTGTCCTCCAGGACAGATCCCACGTGGTTGCACTTAGGAACCAAGTTACTAGAGAATCACAAGGGAGGCCCAGCTTACCCCAAGCTGTGACCCTCACAGGGGCTCTCTGGTTTCTGGAAGGGAATGGATAATATCATCCATTCGCTCATCAACAAGTATTTATTGTATTCCTACTGGTGCAGATTCTGGGGACACGGTGTAGAGACACGATCCCTGCCTCTTGGAGGGAGATATTAAACAGTTGTGGATGACTAATTCCAGTTGTGATTGGAGCTGCAGAGGCAGCTCTGGTGGGGCTGAGATGCCCTGACAGGGTAATGGGTCCTCATCGGGGCCATCAGGAACCCTTCACTTTGGGTTCAACAATTTCTAGGGCACCTCCCTGTTTATTTCCATCTCCACTCCCTGCATTCACCTTTTTCTTGGCCTGTAGTCCTGGGGCAGGTGTGTGGGCATGGGCAGGCTGCAGGGAAGGGATGCTGGGAGGATCTCTCACTTGGGAAGTGTCCCGAT